ATAGACCTAGAGAATATGGCATTTAAATAACTTAGAATTCTGATGACATGAGACAGAATTGTTCCAGGCTGCACCAACTTGATCCCAAGAGAATGTTGGGCTTCTAAGAAATTTCCATTTGAAGTTTGTCTTCTTGGCACAAAATGGCCTACTGGGCAAAGAACTGCCCTTGTCTCGACTGCTGACAGTATGAATGCAATGCTGTCCTTTCTGGACAAGTGGGACCCAAGGAAAGTGACCACTGTACTCTGCCAAGACAGGATAAGATGGTCTTTCAGAATTCCTGATTCTGAAAATTGTCTGTCAGATACTCTAGGCCTGTAGCCAATTTAAATGCACCAACAATGCTGAGAAAGATTAGGTGACTGTACAGGCTGCCACCTTGCAAGATTCCCGAAAGTTGCTTGCATCCATCTACCATTTCTCAGGTACCATTATATTCCTTCTCAGGTCTTTGATGGGATTGAAGACTAGCAGTTATTGTTACAACTTTATATATATATATATATATATATATATATATATATATATATATATATATATATATATATATATATATATATATATAACATATTAAGTATTAGATTCAGGTTCTTTAGGATAGGACACCTTTTGGAATGATCTTTGTAACATGCCATTTACCTATGCTCTATACTTCCCTGAACTTTAGTATGTGTTTCTTGCTTGATATTGTTCGCATTGGTTGTAGTTCCATCTTATCTAGGTCATTATCCCTCATTATTCCTGGACAATATTTGATAACCATTCCTTTGTATATAATCTTGTATTAGGTTAGAACCTTCTTATTTAGACAAAAAGGGGGAGATGTAGTAGGTAGCCATTCCAGCTTTGATCTGGAAGTTCCAACCCCCATTGAGGCTTCAGCAACTGTCACGCCTACAAGGCAGGGCCAAGGGAGGTGCCGAGAGACCCAAGATCAGGATGGGCCAGCGCACTCTCTGTTCCTGGACCCTAGACAGTGGAGGTTGACCAAGCAGAGCTCCAGAGAACACTGCTGGACTGCGATACACCTTCCCCAGACCCTGCAACCTACCTCTCCCTTCTTTTGTAAGTTACCTGCTAAATAAATCTTCCTTTTAACTACATGGAGTGGCCTTAATAATTTCACCAATAACATTTACCTTTTTTTCTATTTTGGGGGGAGGGGAGGCAATGGTGTGGGTAAGAATTATTGTTACCTATTTATTTGTTGACATACATGTTTTTATCATTTGCTTTAAAATTACATATGTGTACGTGTACATATACACATATTATATCAAATGGCTTTTAAAGAAACACAGAATTTAATTGGTCTTCTGTGAACTCGGTTGGCTCTTTTCTTTTTGTTGGACTCTTACCTTGACATTATGTTGGCAACATCTCTCCCCATTCTGAGGAAAGCTTTGTTTGTTTGTTTATTTTTTATTTATTGTCTGAACCCAGAGTTTCACAGATGAGATAAGTGCTCTGTCATTGAGCTATATCTCCAACTTTCTGTTTCCTTATTTAATCTTATGAGACATGGTCTCATTAAGTTGTCCAGGCTGGCCTTGATTTCACTTAGTAATTTAGACAGATATGGGATGTTTTATCTTTTTGCCTCAGCAGCCTGAGCAGTTGGTGTTTTTATTTTTTGCAGTAATTTTTCAACATGTGTTATGGTTGTGTATTTCAGATTTAAATCTTTAATCTGTCTTATCCAAGTGTGTGCCTGAATGTGAAAACCCAAGGCTGCTTATTCTAAACAGCCATTCCTACCTTCCCACATTGGTGTATTGTAGCTAGAGTTTTCCTACCTGGCCCACAGTCAGGACAAATCTCTTTCACCTGCCAGTCCCACAGCCACTCAGACCCAACCAAGTAAACACAGAGACTTATATTGCTTACAAACTGTATGGCCGTGGCAAGCTTCTTGCTAACTGTTCTTACAGCTTAAATTAATCCATTTCCATAAATCTATACCTTGCCACTTGGCTCATGGCCTACTGGCATCTTCACATGCGGCTTGTCATGGTGGCGGCTGGCAGTGTCTCTGACTCAGCCTTCCACTTCCCAGAATTCTTCTCCTCCTTGTCCCACCTATACTTCCTCCTTCCTGACTACTGGCCATCAGTGTTTTATTTACTAACCAATCAGAGCAACACATTTGCCATAAAGAACATTCCACAGCAGTGTATGCTACCTTCATCGCAGTTTACTTCGTCCGTGCTTTTCTTTCCACATTCACATCACATGTCCAGTGTAGATCCTTATTTCCTCTTCCATGGATCTTTGCTATAACCCCTCACTTGTCACCTCAGTTTTGCTCTACTCTTCCCAAGTCACTTTCTCAATATACAAGTATGTTCATACCATGCACTTATCCCCCAAAACTCAGAAGTGAAGCCAAATGTGTCATTCAATCCCCCACACTAGCTTCCCTCAAATACCTTGGGTCACAGTTGCCACAGCAATCACCCTGAGAAAACTATCAGTCATTCTGACAGCGAGTCTGTACACTCACGGTGTTTAGAAAACACCTGTAACATCCTAAAACAATGGCTGCTTATGGGAGAGATGGTCTGTAACAGCACGCGTCCATCCTTCTACCGTGGGCATTCACAGTCAGGTTAAGGACTAGGATGTGTGCATGTGTCAATGGACTTCTAGATGACTCAACCACTTCTTTCTAAAGCCCTTCTAGATAATCTAGCCTCCATCAGGCAACCTCCCCAGGAGTGCCACGCATGTCTGATAATATGAATCACTGGGGCTGGAAAGGTGAAAGAAAGACTTGGGGGCCTAGGGAGCAGCTCTCAAGCCTGCTGCCTGCTTCTTACCCTTATCTCCAGGCATGTGTTTGCCTCTGGGTTCTGGCTCAACCTCTTCTTTTACATTTGCCTATCAGTTCCCTGGCTAGTGTCTGCCACCCCCATGGCCTCAGCAGCCACCCATAATCACCAATTGGTTGACCCTCTTGAGTCTGCACCCCAAACCCTGGTTTATGTCTTCGAACCTTTATGTTTATGCTCTATCACAGTCTGCGTTGTTCATCTCAGTCACATTTCTAAACTGAGTGACAAACCCCTTCCCTCCACTGCTTCTGCTCCCAGGTTCTCCATTTGAGCGATGACATCACCGTCTACCAAATGACCTGGGTTAGAAATGGTCCCCAACTCCTATTTCTGCCTGGCTCAACATCTAGTCAAGGTTTTGTACTCTCTACTTCTTCACCTGATTCTTCCAGCAACACCTAATTCCTTGCACAGGTACTTTGAACCAGTCTCCATTGCCTCTCACGTGGTCATTGGGAGCAAATTCCCAATTGTGTATTTTACTGCAGCCCAAGCTGTCCCACAAAGGGCAAGTGACCACAGCAGCCCACAGTACAGACCCTTCAGCCATTGCTGAGGTCCTTTACAGTATGCTTCAGCCTCTGCTAACTGGTTTTGCTTGGTGCCTTCTCCATCCTTCTCTTCTGGCTGACACTTACTCATCCTACAGTGTTCCATGTAGCCACCTATTTCCCCAGGAAACTTTTGACTCCCCTCAGCCTTGACAAGTCTAGCGTGATAAGCAGTCTGCTAGCCATTCTCTCCCTATGCTGTTACTCTTCATGAGTGCCCTTGCTACCACTGGCGTCGTTGAAGCCCACTAGCTTGCATAGGCCTGGGAATTATGGGGGAAATGTGGCAGGGGTCAAAGGAAGCACTAAATCCAAATCCAGACCTCTCTACTCCACTTCCTGATATTCCTCCTGGGAGGAATGAAGGACATGGCCACCTGGTATTTCTCTTCTTGTGCAGTTTTTAAGTTCTCCTTCCTGAATCTCACCCCTAAGTTCCCAGGTGTCTTTCGAGCTACAGACACCAAATGCTAGGGGACACTTGAGCAAATGGGGCTGCCCACTCTGTCTTGGCTGTTACCAGGGCTCACACAGACCCCGATCCACGGAGCCCCAAGACCCTGTGAATGGCAGAGGTGATCTCCCGGTTTCTCAGGCTGTAGATCAGGGGATATAGAAGCGGTGTGATGTTGGTATAAACCAGCGCTAGTGTCCGATCCAGTCGCGGGGAGTAACTGGACTTGGGCCGCACATACATGAAGGTGGCACAGCCATAATGCAGGAAGGTGACAGCCAGGTGCGAGGCACAGGTGGATGCAGCCTTGCGTCTGCCTCCACCACCATGCAGGCGGCGCAGGGCAGAGGCAATGGCCCCATAGGAGGTCAGAATGAGCATTGAGGGCAACAGCAGCAGCACCAGGCAGGCTCCTAGTAAGGGCAGTTCATCTACGTAGCTCCGTGTGCAGGCCAGGTGCAGTAGTGCAGTGATGTCGCAGAAGAAATGCACCAGCAGGCAGGAGCCACAGAAAGGCAGGTGGAAGACTGCCACTGTTAGCCCCACCGACACTGCTAGTCCCCCGAGGCAGCAAGCCAGGGCCAGTCGTGCACAGAGACCCGGGGTCACTATAGATGCATAGCGCAGTGGGTGGCAGATGGCCACGTAGCGATCATAGGCCATGGCTGCCAACAAGAAGCACTCAGCCCCGCCCAGCGCCACAAACATCTGCATCTGGACAGCGCAGCCCAGGAAGGAGATGGGGCTGCCCCTGCCATGGCCAGGTACGCTCAAGTCGGCTAGAGAGCGGGGCACCACCACTAGCGTGTAGCAGAGTTCAATGGCAGACAGCTGGCAAAGGAAGAGCAGCATGGGTGGCCTGCTGGGCACCGAGACCACAGCCACCAGGATGAGCAGGTTGCCGCTCAGAGTGGCCAGGTGCACAGCCAGCAGCACCAGGAAGAGAAGGGGCCTCAGTTGCGGGAACTCGAAGAAGCCTTGAAGGAGAAAGCCACAGGGTATGGTGCTATTGCTGGGGCTGTCCATGCACTGGGGTCAGGAGGCACCTGCAGAAGAGAAGCAGAGGCAGGGTGAGCCTGCAGGCGCGGCCTTTCTGAAAGGCAAGAAAGGGTTACCTGGGAGTCAGAACAGAGCTGGGAGGGGGTCTGGCTGCAGAAACATTTGATGACCAGTCCCTCTTCCCCTCCACATCTCCAGAGGGACACTGGAGGGACTCCAGCGCAGCTTTTCCTGCTGTTTGCGCTAGAATCTCTGATTTGAGACTGTGGTCTAGAGCCCATAACTCCTGACCTCCCCCCACAGAGTCAAGCACTGGCCGAACTCAAGTTATTTTGTGCATTTTATATGGTCATGAGGTTTAGACTTCAAGGTCCTCCAAGGCAGGAAATGTGCCTCTCCTCTCAACTTCTCCATCTTCTTTCTTAGCTAGCTCTGCCTTCTGAGGTGTGTCATACATAGGATCACAGAGTGACCCAACATCTATGGGGGTCTCATAGACTATCTCATGCAACATTTTTAAATTAATTAATTAATTAATTAATTAATTAATTTCCAGCCCTATTATAGTTTGCCCACCCTCCCTCTTCTCCTCCTAGTCCCTCCCCCAATCTCCGGTATAGCCCCCCCATCCCCTCCTTTATCTTCAGAAAAGAGAAGACTCCCTGTGTATATCAGTCAGTCATAGCATATCAAGTTGCCGTGAAACTAGACATCTCTTCTCCTATTAACACTGGATGAGGCAACCCGGTAGGAGGAAAGGGTCCCCAAATCAGGTAACAGAGTCAGAGACAGCCCCTGCTCCCACTGCTAGGAGTCCCATTAGAAGACCAAGTTACACAACTGTAACACATGCGCAGAAGCCCTTGGTCAGTTCCTTGCAGGCTTCCTGACTATCAGTTGAGTCTCTGTGAGCTCCTATGAGGCCAGGATAGCACCTTCTTGTTTTTAAAGTGAAAAATGTAACTGAGATGGGGTCGGGGATGTATTTAACTTCTCAGAGAAATGGGGGGGGGGGGAATGAATTCCTGAGACTGAATCTGTCACTCCCTATAGCCCATATGCTGTTTGGGAATGAGGTCACTGGAGTCAATCAGACGATCAATAGTAATTTAACCTTCAGTAGAGACCCAGATCTGTAGTACATGCTGGGACAGACACTTGGGCTGCAAGGATGCTCTGTGGGAGAGTCTTGGTGGATTTGTCAGGATCTAAATGAACCTGACATTATGGTTAATACTCTGTCAGTGTGAGGAAAGGTGGTGCATGTCTGTGCTGGCTCAACTCTCAAAACGAACAGTACTTTCCACGTTTGTCATCGGACCCCAGCTTCTCATTATCTGGTGACTCATCTGTAAGCAACAGTTGGGAAACATTGTCAGTGTGTAGGTCTACTATGCTGTGGAGAATCTCCCGAGTGAAGCAGATGTGGGGTGGAAAGAAGACCATGTGACCTGCAGGAGGATGTTTGATTTTTTTAAACAGGTGTTAGCAAAATCTATTGTTAAGATTTCTTTATGTCTTTAAAAATGTAATCCCAGACTCCACCATTCCTTCAATGTTCTAATCAACATGGATCATGTGATTTGCTCATAGTCCTCATGACAGAGTATGAGTGTGCTGAAAACAGCAACACACAGTTGGATGAAAGGGCGGCAGGGACTGCAGAGACCTTGGCTTTCCTGCTGAGTGCTCCTTTTGGAGAAGTTTGATTTATCCACATCACCCTGTGCTCTTTCTTGTAGCATTTGAAGGGAGCATTTGCTAACACACATTCTGTTCTACTAATGGAGGAAGAGACAATGGGCAGGAGTAGGTTTTCCCATGGGGCTTAAACCCTCTCCCCCAGACCTTTGGGAGACATTTTTTCCCCGTCTATTGAACAAATTTAGCCAACCTGAGTCTTGTGCCTGTTCTCAGCCAGGTGTTGTAGCATTAAGAGTGAAGTTCACAGAGACAGAATTCGTGTCTTGAGGTTTCAGGCAGATAGAACTTCTGGAGTGCCAAGGATGGAGACAGCCATTCAGCTGTCCCTGCTGGCCCACTTACTGCTGCCTTCCATCTCTCAGTGGGGTGGGTTCTGGAAGGTAAGACAGACACAATCTGTTTTAATTTTCTGCACTTTCATGATGTAAACCAGGCAGATGGTAGGAAGCACTGGGTGATGGCCCTGGATGGAGTTGCTCAAGAATAATCATGTTTTCAAAGTGAAGCCGCATAAAACAAGCCATATGGGTCAACTAATTGGACATGACCAAGGGGTTGTTTCTGCTTAGCTTAGCTCTCGGGGAGAAATTGTTCCAAACTCTAGGAATGTAAGCTAGGTCTACCAGGCTAAGAAAATGTGAAGATCAACTGGGCAGGGTGGCACACAACTTCAATCCCTGCGTTAAGAGGCAGAGGCAGGCAAAGCTTCAGTTTTTCAAATCCTGCTTCTTCCTAGCAGAAGAAGCTGCAGAAAGAGAGAAGAGCTGCCTGGACCCCCTTCTTCTCCCAGGGAGATGAGAGCAGGAAGTTTCACTTTTCCAGGGGATTGTTAACACCAGTAAAAATAATGAACACTGAAGAGAGTTCTTGGAAACTGAACGTAAGGACTTTAAGCATAACCCATTTAATCTAGCAACAACTTAGTGATGTAGCTGGATTCGTCCCATGCTCACTTTGGAGATGAGGAAACCAAATGCCTTACAACTAACTGGCTAATGCTAAAGCCAAATTTCCACCCAAGAAGTTTAACCTCTGATAACCTGTGGTCTCATACACTTTGTCTGCATGGTCTAAAGAATGGTCTGTGATGGCTATACTTTCAGTTTTGAATGGCTTGATTAAGTATATAGCAAAGCAAAGTAAAAGAATAAGTAGCAATACATCTCCAAATTAGGTGCTCAAAACATCCAGCCGAAGTAGCTGGGGAGATGGCTCAGTGCTTAAGTACATAGTGCTTAAGAACACTGCTTTAAAACACCTTTGCAAAGGTCACAGGGCTTGCTTTCCACTATACATATGGTTGTTCACAACTGTCTGTAACTCCGGTTCCAAAGGCTCTAATGCCCTCTTCTGGCCTCTGCAGGCACCAAGCATGCATGTGGTACACATACATTTATGCAGGAAAAAAAATTTCATATGAATAAAATAAAAGTAAATCAATCTTTAAAAATTACTTAAACAACATCCATTAAAATAAAAAAACCCACCACCCAGCAGAAATGTACTGTGGTAGCCCTACTGAGGCAGTCAGCTTGTATTCCCAATAGAGAGAGGCCTGGGCAGAGTGGTGTCTCCTCGGGCGAGGCTCCCACATAAAAGAAAAAACAACAGTAGACAAAGACAAGGTCATCAAATAAGGCACTCAGAACATCCAGCAGAAAACGACTGGAGAAGCTGAGTCAGTCAGCTGGAATCCATGTTTGAGCATTCTCTCCCTGGATGAGCTTTCCATGGCTGAACTTTGGGCTTCTCCTCCCCACTCTAGGCACTTTTATGTCATGTAATAAAACTGTAGCAGCCTCTGTTGGAGATAGGTCATCTTCTAGCTATTTTCAAGGATCTGGTGTTTTTATCCTTGAGCTATTTTACTGCTTACTTCCTTCAGTGTCACAGAGTTGGAAGGCACAGGTCATCCCCAAACAAGAGACCTTGGAAGACACATTGAGAAAAGCGTGCTTATGGATCTATAATGAGATGGGGACAGCCCTGCTTCATGAGCCAGCTTCTCGGGGAACTCAAGGAACACAACTTACTTACATAATGCACATCACTACACCATGTAGCCTTCCTCATTTAAACACTCCCTCAAATCTTTCCCCAACAAGAGGTACATGCTAACCTTCTTCCATGGCTTCCTGCAGACTAGAAATGACCCCCACCCTCCCAGGCATTCCTGTCCTCAGATTTTCCTTCTCTGATATTTCTCTTGAGGACAGCGGATGTGAGCAGTAATGCAGATAATTTAAGATAGCAAATCTAAAAATAATTTCTCTTTAGTTTTGACATTCATCACTGCTCTGTTATTGTTCTGGCAGATTCTTGTTTCTAATTGTGTGAGGCTCTATGAAGCACCCACGGAGTCATGGCTGGCTGGTGGCCCGGGACATCTGGATGTGGTTGGAAGGTTTTCTGGGCTAGAGATTCAGACCTTGGATTTAATTTTTGCTGTGCAGCATAATAAAAATTATCCATTACAATGGTGTTTCTAATTGGTAATTTCGATAGCCAATCAAAGCACTTCTAAATATGGGGAGAAGGGGAGATACGAGAGACAGACAGGTCAGACCCCTTCAGCTCTTGAGAGTTCCAGACATGCTAGGCTGGAGATAAAAGGTCAAATGGTGGAGCTAGACTCATGCTATAGTAAACCTCATGTTGAGTAAGACTCAGAGAAACATCTATCCAGCCTGGAGCTTCACTAATGTCTGTGGGCAGAACTGAACTGTCTCACTATTCTTGACAAAATAGCCTTAAAAAAAAAAAAGAATTGCCTTCCAGTTTAAACTTAAGCTCACTGGTCTAGCATCTTAGCTTACAAAAGCATCAAGAAGAAAGGCTACAGCACAAGTCATTGACCTAAAACAAACCAATTTAGAAAGTTACAAATAAATCATCTGGATATCCTGACTGCATTGGACCTCTGGTCTATGACTTTCTATAAATGATAATGAAATAATTTGTTTACTGTTTAGTTTTTAAGGGAATAACATATATTATGATGTTTCATTTTTTCCTTAATTTTTGCTGAAAGACAACGAGCACCCACAGTTTAACGTTCTTTGTTGTTTTCTGGGTGCTTGAATAGGAGAATAGGGGCCAACTGAATTGACTCTGTTACCACTGTGGAACAGTGACAGTAAGAGCAATTTGATGAAGACTCCATAGAGAATGTGGAGAAGCTTCTAGAATGGACTTGGCACACAGTCAGCACACAGGAACACTGGGGGTATTCTCAAAGCTTATGCTTTGTTATTTGGAAGGCTTAGGTGAATTACCCTCTTAGCATTTCTCTTTCTGTCTTAGAAATCTCAGTCCTTGACTGA